AGGAAAAATGTGAAGAGAAACTGTGTTCGTACCACACCCTGAGCCAAGCAGAATTTTGAAGCACTCACTGTATCATGTTACATGGCAGGAACCTAATATTTATGCCAGACTTATAATAAAGTTGCTTTTAATTCAAATGGAATATATGATTTTTTTCCCCAGTATGGAAGCACAGTAAATAGAACACATTTCTGTCTCGGTCAGTTATCAGAAGATAGAAAGGGAGAATGTTATTTTCCCTAAAGATTACAAATCATGAAAGTATTTCCTTAACAGCTCTAAAATGCCAAATGTCACAAAATTAGAGCTCTGAAGATACCTTTTCTTAACTAAAAATGAATCAGATTCAGGATATTTCCTGATAAGAATGTAGGTTATAATGAAAAGAAGCAGCATGTTTGATCAGAAGATTAAGTAAAATACTTACATGATAAGTTGTTTTATCACTTGGTGTATATAGAATAAAATTACTGCACGCTGGTTATTTTCTTTCCTTTTTTGGTTGCTTGCCCATACTGAAGGAGGAACTGCTGAATGAGGACCACCCTTTGACTGTTGAAAAAACTGAGGACAGCAGCTTTGACTCAAATAGTATATACGTTATTACACCATTGGATGCATATAATTAAGATTACTTCTTTATTTTATGCTTATTAAGAGATCATTTTGCTTTTTGAAATGGAGAAAAATAAGCCATATTGGGTGCATCTACAGATTTAATTAATGCACATAAATAACCTCTGGAGCTTATTGCTCCTGGACATGCCCTTTGAACATGAGACTGAGAGCAATAAACTCTAGAGCAATAAGCTCTTGCGTTTAATTTTGACCCATACTGAGCTGGGTCATAACTATCCCATCCGGCAGCCTGAGGCTGCTCCCCCTAGCTCAGTGTGCTGCAAAGGGGCTGGCTGGGGCACAAGGGTGCTTCAGTGTGGGGCTAGCTGGCAGGCAGCTCCCAGGAGCTGGGAGCAATGTCCAAGCCCTCTCCAGGACACAGCTGTCTTCTGGCCCTATGCAATCTGCCAGCCTCTGGGCTAGCACCCAAGGTGAGCCTAGACCTCCCACTGGCTGCTGCTGGGGGCCAGTGCAGAGCCCGTGGGGCCAGGAGCAGACTGCTGCCATGAACAACAAATCTGCTCCCACTTCTCCATATGTGTAGGTATCTGCCCAGCGTAGATTTACTCTCAAACTTTTTGTACCAGGACCCATTTGTAAACATAGATGGCCAGTCCTGACTCAGTAAATACCTGATGTTGCCCTTCACTCCCACTCCACAGCCCCTCAGCTGCAGGCCCCATTCCCCAGTTGGTGGGGCAGGGTGTGGGTGTGTGGTGTATAGGGGAGGACCCCAAGCAGCCCCTATGAGTTTCCCTTGCAGGGTGGAACTCTGCCAGCCTGCAAGGGAAACCCACAGTTTCCCCATGTTTTTTCTCATTTAAAGGATAATCCATCTTAAAGTGTGTTTGCAACCCTTTCATATATTCTTGTGACCAACTTTTGGGTCATGACCCACAGATTGGGAAACACCGCTCTACAGTAAACTTACTCTAGAGTATTTGCATATGTAGATGTGCCCAGAGTGTAGAAGTGTAAAGGTGGAAATAGTGTATTTACTTTAAGTTGGGCAGCCAGTTAATTTTCATTTACTCAGTTTTCTTTTTATGTATGCAGTCCATTAATTTTTGCTGATCCTAGCAAAGCCTCATTAAAGTCAGAGGGAATTTCATTGTTAGATAAATAATTAAAGAGAAAACAGCAGTGTGGAAAAAAGAGATGGTAAGAAAGTATGCGTTTTGTTTTCTTTTTCCCTAGCCCACAGATTTTGTCTATACAAATTACTAGAGCAAATTAACTGTCATTTTCAAAAGTGGAAACAGGAATGAACTCTCTTGTCATGCACAGTAATGGCAGCAGGTTCATTCATTTCTAAGCCAAAGTTGCACTGAAGTCACACCCAGGAATTAAAAAATGCAGTAAAAGCATGTCTTGGCAATACTCATCCTATGCCCACTTTCTTTAAAAGTAATATTATTATTTTCAGTTCAGTGTTAGAAGCTATTACTTGATATTACTATTGATAAAAATATTATAATCACCTGTGCATATAACTTTGTTGCAATATCAATTGTAACACACACTTGGAGTATACACATGATGATATACCCCACAAACTCAGATCATATCTAAATATGTTTTGGGGGAGAGGGGGGCATGGAAAAAACTCACAAAAATTCCATGCCATAGTTATAATTGCTGTATTAAAGTTGCACACTTACAGGGAATTGGATTGAAGTCTACTCTAAAATGCAGTCCTTTCTGCATTTCCAAATGGTTGAATGAGTATCCCGCAAGAGAAACAGGCTAAATCTGTTGAGCTTGTATATAAATAAATAAAATCTCTCTCTGCTCTTTCAGTTTTCCCTCGACTCTACATCTGAATTCTTGACCAAAAGCCCTAATCTCAGGTCAGGTCCTGAGAGGTGGGAAATTCTCCAAAATAGATTTGGCCAGGATTGTCATGCAAAGGAGTCCTAACAAAATATTAGACTAGTTCTACCCAACCTGGCCTCCTTCAGACTGTAGGCCTGATCCTGCAATGAACCAGGGCTCATGTTTTACTTTGTTTAGTACTTTTATTTTGGCACAGGGACATACGATCCTGCTGGGGGCTAAAGAGAGGAAGTTACTTTCAAAATGTCAAAAATCTGAGGTCTGAAAAGGTAGGTGTTCTGAGGTATAAATAAACTTTTTTAAAAATAAAAAGAATGAGCATTACAGGAAGAAAGATAAAGGAAGATGAGTCAACACACTGATAGATGCATGATATGGAGTTGTCTTGCAGTATTGAGGTATTTTTTTGCCTTGCAGTATTTTGGTTTTCCATATAGTGTTATGCTCTGGAGCTTTTTCATTGTACATGTTTGGAGATGGAGTCACTGAACATTAGATGCAAAAATAACAAACTGTACCTCAGTTGCCACTATATAAGTGGAGGGCAATGACATTTCTTTCTTCAGTGGCACAATGGGGCTTAAATTATTAATGCTTGCTTGTGAGGTGTTTGAGATCTTCAGGTGCAAGGTACTAAAGAACAGGAAAGTCTTATTGGAAGTGTTCAGCTGCTTTGCTAATAGCCCAGGGACTCTACTCTCAGGTAGATTTAGTGTGAGTCTGAGGTATCTCCAAGAACATCTTAATTGAGAGCGTGTATGCTATGTGTTGTGTGTGTGAGGGGGAGAGATTTTTCAGCTAACTGTGGCTTCTCAATACTGGGGCCAGTTTTATGCTGGCCCTGTTTCCAGCATAAATCAGAAAAGCCTAAGAGCTGCTCTAACCAATGCTTTCTCCCATCAAGGAACAGCTTGGGTTGCTGTCTAAGAGAGCACAGTTTGGTCCAAAGCATAAAGGCAAACCTGCTCATTGGGAATTACCATTCAACCCTATTTTAGAAATGTTAGTTGTCCAGACATTTCGAAGCTATAACCACACAGTGTTAGCCATAGAGGTAGGCAAATCGCAGTTTCTGCATGCCTGTAACAAAGTTTGGAAGCTTGTTGTTAGATGTCAGGCGATTGACAGCCATTAAGGTTTTGGGGACAGGAAGGGGTTTGGCAATAAGCTAATCTGCTGTGGTAAAACCAGTTTCTTTAGTCAACTGAGCATAAGCACATGCATAACAGCTTCAGGCTACAGGGGAGATAAAAGGGCACCAGAACTTTTATATGAACAGAGAAATGTTCTCACGATGAATAAAGATTTTCCCCCTTTTATTTACTCCTACACAAATGGTAGTGTCTATAAAAGATGGTATCAATCCAAAAAGGAGATAATCACTTCGTTTAAACCAGGACTACATACACAAACATAAAGACAATGGCTCACATTCAAAAGGAAACACTAATTTTAATAAAATTTGATGAAATAAAGTAGAAAGTTTATCTGTTTGTACAGTATCCTATTTTACTAGGGTGAGAGCAGCACGTTAATTGCAATGCCTCCCTTCCCTTTTACCCAGACCATGGTAATGTTTCCTCTAGAGTCTCTGAAAATCCCAGTTCTGGCCTTCAACGTTTTAGTGCTGAGGCTATATCTTAATACATAGAAAACATTTTTCACTGAACGTATAGAAGCAAGTAGTAAAGGGAAAGGGACGGGAAATCTGACCTTTTAGAAATGGGGAATCTGAATATGTATTGGATTCTAACTAGTTTTAATAAAATGTTCCATTTAAAATTCATTCATTCCCTCCCACCCTCCCGGGCCTCTTTGGACACACAGAACAATTGATAGTTATCATACTTTTCATATGTGAAGACCGTTACCAAATCCACCTTCACTCTTCTCTTCTCCAAACTAAATAAGCCTAGTTCTTCCAGGCTTTCCTTATATGCCATATTTTCTAGGTCTTCTAGCATTTTTGTTGCTTTCCTTTGGTATTTTTCCAGGTTTTAACATCTTTGTTGACATGCAGGAGACAGTACTCTAGATCTAGAGTTCTCACCACTTCCTGTGACTTGTATGTATGCAGTTCACATCTTGGTATGCAACTTTTTTTTCGCAACAACATTACAAGTTCAGGGCTTGGAGATGAGCGAGTGTTTGAATAAGCATCAGATACTATTTATTTAATTGTATATAACTCCTGAAACGGTTTAACTATTACTCAGCATTATTTTTACAGAACATATTGAGGCTGATGTTGCTCTACATAGTGGGCATGCTAGCATACTTGTAACTACAGCATTGCTGATCCAATAATGCTTCAATATGTCTTCCTATAATTTTATGTCATGCATACTGAAAGAGTACCTTTTAATTTATGTAGAGCTAACTGCTTTCTCAAGTGCCTTGTCTTTGTGTCATGAGATTACATTAGTCAAATTTAAACTCACCATTAGATGTCAATGAACTCTAGCCAGGATGACTGCCAGGTTAGTGACCCAGGTGCAAACAGTCAATGACCATTTTAAAGCTTCTGTCCTGATAGATGGGTTAGAATGATGAAAACTGTTGTTGGAAATGGATGTTCACATCCCTGACTGATCTGACCACCTGGGATCCTTGTGGTTTGTTCTATATTCCTTACTTTTTTACCTTCCAGGTAAGTAAAAATCTATCACTTCTAGCACTTGAAAATACAATTTACTAACCAAAATGTAATTTTTTTCCTGCAAGTTATGTGGGTCCAAATCCTGATCCTTTCTCCCACAGTGGATCATACTAGAATCCTTTGGCTTCACTGGGACTACTTTAGGAATGATCATGTTTGATATCGGAAGTGAGCTGGTGCCTCTGTATCACACCCTTAGCTTCTCAGAGGAATCTAGTTTCACTGTTTCAAAGAATGTCTCATGCATCCAGACACCATGGTCTTTATCTATGTATGACATAGGCAATGCAATTTGAGCAAGCACGTCAGTGTGGCTTCTCACAGCAGTAATCACCAGCTCATTGACAATTTTTTACAGGACCAGGACATTATTTTATAGGACTCCCCCACAAATTTCTTTATGGCATTCAATAACATGATTGCAAAGGTAAATAATAAATAGAGGGAGAAGGAAAGAGAGACCGCTTTTCTTACTTTGGTCAGAATATAACCCCTCTTCACCACCACAAAGTATGACATTATTTTATTGATGTGGGTATTCTTCATCATTTTATAGAAAGTTGTAGTTTTCCACACTGGCGTCAGATGTGGGGATCTGCTTGGGCAACTTGACACTAGTGGTCGGAAACCAGGTGCAGGGTTGTTACAAGTGGAACCAAGCAGCTCAACTGAACCAATTTTTACTTTTTAAAAATCTCTATCTGTTGGCAAGATGTGGTTTTGTGATGAGTTTTCAAAAAATTGAATGGTCATTTGAACAGAAGTTGCTCATACAATATAGACAAGCAAAGTGATAATGAAATCAACTTCATACCAAAATGTATATATTCCTATTATCTATTTTTGCAGTTTTCTTTATTGTTACCCTAATTTAAATATAAAATGGAGAAGAATGCAGTAGCACTTTTAATTGAAATTGTTGGCTTAGCCTCCAGATTTCTTTATAAAGTCGATCTCTGTCCTGTAAACACTGGAACAATGCAAAGCAGTTGGAGCCAAGGCTCAGGTTCTAACCCATTTTAATGTGTTTAAACAGGAAACTTCTGCTCATTATGTATGTGCAATGTGATGAGTATTAATAAATATTTCTGACCCCTGGACTGAATTCAGAAATTTTGAATGTTAGGAGTAAAAAACTGGTTCATCACTAAGCCTGTATGCTAGCAGGAATGCAAAGTTTAGGGCATACTTGAGAATGCTGAAAGATACATGGTAATACAGATTCTTTCTATTGACCCAGAGGTCAGCATATTAATGATATGATCTATACTTACAGCCAGAAGAGCATACACTTTATATGCAAATGATGATTTGGTGTTTGGGAACATAGTTCCTGGCAAAACTCTCAAAAAAGTCAAGTCCTTTTTACAGAATAATTTAAAGGTCTTTTATCCCTTGCAGATATTATTAATGCAGCAAATGAAGCATAAGCCATCTTAAGACAAAGGTTAAATTTGTGATAACAATTTAGGTAAAATTATGCTAATTAGAAAATGTTAGTCTTATATATTTGGTAGAACTTCTTCTTGAGTTTACATGCATGTTTATGCCCATGTTCATTAATGTCTCTGTTCTTCTCTAAAATGATAAAGCACCATGTTGAAAGTTAGGCAACCCATTAAGCCTTAGGCTGTCTGCTTATTTGTACTGGCTTTTCTACGAAATCAATTGACCACAGTTTTCCCTATATCTGTAGGACTTCTTAAGCTTATCAGGGATCCAATTGAATAGAGGAGAGTTTGCAGTATCTGTGACGACTCAACCTCATGAATACCGTTTATATGCATCTCAGCTGGACTAATTTAAAACAGATCTCTGTTGCAAAGATGATCTGGAGCATATTATTAGTTGACACAGCTGCCAAGAGGAACTGAGAGAGAAACTGGATGTTTCTTAAGGCATGTTTGTGAGGACTTTGTGCTGGTCTGAAAAACTGCTTTTTGTAGGACTGCTCTTTCAGAGTTTCAATGAACTAGCTAGGGTAAGTGGGAGACTGAGGGACTATACTTTAACTGTGAATGTGGATAAGTTAGTTTCTCAAAAATGACTGAAAACTGCCTTATTGTAGTAAGTCTGGAGCATTGTTGTAGCCATGACAGTCTGGATTCCAGATTCCGGGAAGGGCACTTTGTGCTTGAGGGCTTGTCTAACAGCTCTCTCAGCTATACAGTTAGTCTAATAAAAAATATTCCTAGGAAAAACCCTTACTTCTATGCAAACAGCCAGGGATTTGTGCTTAGTGATTATCGGGATTGTGTTCATGTATGTATAAGCTAGATAAGCTCATCTGAAAATTAAGTTTTTACAAAATCATCTTTCTATATGGAGCAGGATGAATATGTATATAGCAAACCCCTATTGCCACGGCATTTCCTTAAGTTCATAGATTCATAGATGTTAGGGCTGGAAAGGACCTTGAAGATCATCAAATCCAGCCCCCTGCCCCAGGGGCAGGAAGTCAGCTAGGGTCTAAGGACCCCAGCAAGATAAACATCCAAATGTTTCTTGAATGAGTCTAGAGTAGGTGCCTGCACCACTTCTGGAGGGAGTCTATTCCAGGCCTTGGGGGCTTGGACAGTAAAGAAAGTTTTCCTTATGTCCAGCCTAAAAAGGTCTCGGAGGAGTTTATGACCATTGGTCTTTGTTATCCCTCAGGGCGCTCTGGTGAACAGATGTGCCCCCAGATCCTGATGCACACTCCTTATATACTTATAGGCATCTACCAGGTCCCCCATGAGCTTGCCCTTTTCCAGGCTGAAGAGTCCCATGGCTGTCAGCCTCTCTTCATAAGACCTATTCTCTTGCTGTCCAATCATGCACGTGGCTTTCCTCTGGACTCTCTCAAGCTTCTCCACATCCTTCTTGAATTGTGGAGCCCAGAATTGGATGCAGTACTCCAGCTGCGGCCTCACCAAGGCTGAGTAAAGCAGGAGGATGACATCCTGAGATTTACAAGATCTAAGTTAGACAGGCCCTGGCTCTACATGCTTTCTCTAAAACTTTAAAGAACAATAACAATCTTTCCCTCCCCTCTTTTTGACTTTCCTGCTTGTGTGTCTAATATTTAACCATGTTTTTCCTTTTAAAAATTTGTAGCATTACAACCATTTTTTCTTATATGACTTTAAAATGCACAGTTAACATCAAACACTCGGCCTTGCAAACTTTGCCTGCCCTTTGAAAAGAAAGATTATGAATTATATTTCCTTTGTAGAAAATAATAGCTGTATTATTATCACAAGTGGGTTTATTTCAGACATTTATCATGTATCATAAACAGCTGACAAAAAGAAGTATAGGCATTTACATACATTTTCTGTATTGTTTTTGAGCTTAGTACAGACAATTTAACTGTGTAGATCCTACAGCCATTTTTAGCCCATCTGCCTCTTGCAGTGTGAATTAGAATTGCTACCTATGGCTGTATTTGCATGTGCAATTAGTCATGACTAAATTTACTGCTCATTAAGCTAGCGTGCAGTAAGCAATTTTTGGGCAGGAGTCTACACACGCAGTCTAGTGCCAAGTCCCTCCAGCCCTGCCATGTGCCCACCGGGGGGAGCTCCAGCCTCCAGCCACATGGCTGCCAGCACTTGGTAGCAATATTGAAGCCAGACCCAGCTGCCAGCACCTGGCAGCCATCTTGGAAAAACAGCCTTACCCTTTGATCCCTGGCCAGCTCCCTCCCTGCCAAGAAGCCATGTACTCAGTGCAGGAGAGCCATGTACTGTGACAACTCCCTGCTTGCCCACCCTGCCTCCCCCTGCCATGGCTATTCCAGCCTTGTCCCTGGCAGCGATGACCAGTGCCCCATGCTCCTGGTGGCCATGGTGCTGGCTCTGTTGGCCCCAAGAGGCCCCATCCACCCAGGCCCCAGCAGAGCTGCACACCTGCCAGTGGAAGCCAAGGCACTGGGTGTGGGAGGCCCTGGCCTACCCGCTCCCTCTGCACTCCCTAATCCAGCCCACCTGCCCTGCCACCCATACACCCCCTACTCCCTGCCCACCCTCAGTACCACTGTCGGGACACACACTTGTTTGAAAAAAAATAGCATTATTCCCCTCACAACACTCACCCCCATTCCTCCCTGCCTCTCCCTCAACCAAAAAACTCCCCTCCCCACCTCCCTCCCCAACACACAGAGCCCCTCCACCACCCTCCCCACCCATCAACAATAAAAATCCCACTTCCCAAAGTGCAAACTATTTACAATAGTCTCAGTCTCTATCTGAATCACTGATGATCCTTCTGGTGCCCTGGGCACTCTTGCACTCCTGGTTTGGGACCTTGTGCTATGATGGTGTGGGGGGAAAGCCCAGGCTGCACCACAACCTCCACCACTGCTTGGAGGACTACCTGTGGCAGTGCTACATGTCCCTGCCCCTCACTGCTGAGGAGTACATTGCTGGCAACATCTATACCTTCCTTGGGGTGAGAGGCCCATGCCTGCCCAGCTGCAGAGACATGGGCTGCTGAATAAAGTTTTGAACTGTGTTCCACCTCTGTGTGCTGTAGGGAGGGAACCTGAGGCCAAGGAAGCGTGGGCAGGCCAGGCAGGGAGCAGAGGCTGGGGCCAGAATCAGGGCCAGGGGCAAGTGCAGGACTTACCATGTGTCTGGGGCTGATAAGGCTGGCAGTTTGACATGGACTTCCCTGTTGGCAATGGCAGCTGGTTGCACCTGGTGTCTTCAGCTCATGGTGTGCGGCAGGCCAGTGCCTGGCCAGGCTTCCCCCTAGGGAGAAGCAGTGTCATGGGTAGCCACTCCTTGTGGAGGGCTATAAGGATGCAGAGCTGGTAAGGCAGCCATTGGCCAGGGCACCTCCAGCTGCTGGTGGGTGCAGCAGCTGGGGAGGTGGGTGGGTTGGGGCACTGAACACCCAAGGGCCCCCCCCTTGGGGAGGTGTTACCACCAGATAGGTCAGGGCAGGGCAGTGACTCAGGCAGGCCACCCTTGCTGCTGAAAACTGCAGGGTTGTGGCCTTGGTCCCGG